AAAGTAATTATTTGGTAAGATACTTGTACTTTTACTCAAATATCTCTTTGTGGTACTTTATACAACACTGATTAAAATATCGTGATATTTCAGTGTATCGTGATATTTTCTGACACCTCTACAAAGTTTGAGTTTACTTGTTTGTTTCTCACATTTTGTTTAAATCAAAACTGACTTCATGAGGAGTTTGTTTTATTTTAGTGAAGTTTTAAAAAGCTGTAAAAACTTTGTAGTTTAGTTTTAACGTTCGAGTCCTGATGGAGTCCAGAGCCGCTCGTGTTTTCAGGAAAAAAAAAAGTTTCAGACATCAGAGGCTTCTCTGAAGTCAGACGTTGGACACCAAACCTCTAAATATTTCTCTGTATTTGCTCAAAAAGTAGAAGAAAAAAACCGTCTGCAGAGCCGTCTGATTTTTCCCTCCTTGAGCAAATAAAACTTAATGAATGAATCTGTTCTTTCAGGCAGAAACCTTCAAAACCCAACAACGTTTCTGTCATTTAAGTTTTTTTTAATGTAATTTATTCAGTTTTATGTAAAGTTTCTTTAAAATAAACACTTTTCAGGTAAATGTTTTTATATTCTGTATAAAATGTTAAATTAAATCAGTTTTATGTGTTTTTGTTGCGTGTGATACTTTTAATTTACCTGAGTTTGTTTTTTWAATTAAAATAGAAAAGTGTATAATTATTTTATAAGTTTAATAAACAAGATGTTTGAACAAYAAACAGATTTATCCACCAGGTGGCGCCAGAGATCAGCGGTGAAAAACTGAAACACATGAAGCTGGATTATCAACACTTGTGTTTGTTTAATCCCAGATCAAAGCCTGGATCGTGTAATCTGTGGGATTAAACTGCTGATAATCACAGATTAGAGGACACGCTCACTCCTGATGATTACAGAGAAATGTAGAACATTTAAATTATTTATTTTTTGTGTTTTTAGCTTAATCTAAACACAAACTAACATGTATTTCACCTGTTTGTCACTAAATTTGTTTATAGTTTATATAATAAAATTAAAGTCTGGATCAAACAACTCTAGGTAACAAAATGGTTTTAAATTTTGAATTTACTGATTTAGTTTGTATTGAAGTTATTTGTGTTAGAAATCACATCAAATCAAAGACATTGTAATTTATTTTTATCCCTGCTGTTTGATTCGATGTTCATCTCATTCTGTTCAGTAATTTAATTATTTGGGGTCGTTCCAGGTGATATTTTCTGATTTATTGGTCAAACTAACGTCTTAAAGCTGATGGGACGTTTTCAAAGAGCTGCTGATGTTCGACTTCAACACGTTCTGATGCAAGAGTGACGTAAAAATACACAATTTAATTTGTTTTTCTTCTTCCAAACGATCTGAAATGTCTTCTTGTTTTCAGGTTCTGAGAAGTCGATCGTGTCTTCGCCCAACAAAAAATTCAAAAATAAAAAAAATCACTCCTGGTTCTGGAGTGGAAAGAAAATATTTCACAACATCTTTCAAAATAAAATCAATCCTGTGAACTGCAGCTGTACGTGAGCTGAACGTTAAGAGCAGAAAATGAAAAACAGTTTTCTGTCAAACCTTTGAAACGTTCTTTGTGAACGACTCATTTCAGCTCAGTATAAATCAGASGTGAAGCCTGACTGATTCTGAGTTTAATTTAAATCAATCCAATGGTTACTGAGATATTTTGCTAACAGACTGGKTTAATGCTAAGCCTGTGTTGGGGWTGATCCTCTGCTACCGTCACAGCTCATGTCTGCAAATCTGAGATCCCTCAGCAAAAAGCAGTATATRCAAGTATCCATTAAGTATACTGATTTTAAACTAATAATAAGAGTATACTTCCAGTTTACTTTTTATATACTGGGATATACACTCACCGGCCACTTTATTAGGTACACCTGTCCAACTGCTCGTTAACACTTAATTTCTAATCAGCCAATCACATGGCGGCAACTCAGTGCATTTAGGCATGTAGACATGGTCAAGACAATCTCCTGCAGTTCAAACCGAGCATCAGTATGGGGAAGAAAGGTGATTTGAGTGCCTTTGAACGTGGCATGGTTGTTGGTGCCAGAAGGGCTGGTCTGAGTATTTCAGAAACTGCTGATCTACTGGGATTTTCACGCACAACCATCTCTAGGGTTTACAGAGAATGGTCCGAAAAAGAAAAAACATCCAGTGAGCGGCAGTCCTGTAGGCGGAAATGCCTTGTTGATGCCAGAGGTCAGAGGAGAATGGGCAGACTGGTTCGAGCTGATAGAAAGGCAACAGTGACTCAAATAACCACCCGTTACAACCAAGGTAGGCAGAAGAGCATCTCTGAACGCACAGTACGTCAAACTTTGAGGCAGATGGGCTTCAGCAGCAGAAGACCACACCGGGTGCCACTCCTTTCAGCTAAGAACAGGAAACTGAGGCTACAATTTGCACAAGCTCATCGAAATTGGACAAGAGAAGATTGGAAAAACGTTGCCTKGTCTGATGAGTCTCGATTTCTGCTGCGACATTCGGATGGTAGGGTCAGAATTTGGCGTCAACAACATGAAAGCATGGATCCATCCTGCCTTGTATCAACGGTTCAGGCTGGTGGTGGTGGTGTCATGGTGTGGGGAATCTTTTCTTGGCACTCTTGGGCCCCTTGGTACCAATTGAGCATCATTGCAACGCCACAGCCTACCTGAGTATTGTTGCTGACCATGTCCATCCCTTTATGACCACAATGTACCCAACATCTGATGGCTACTTTCAGCAGGATAATGCGCCATGTCATAAAGCTGGAATCATCTCAGACTGGTTTCTTGAACATGACAATGAGTTCACTGTACTCAAATGGCCTCCACAGTCACCAGATCTCAATCCAATAGAGCATCTTTGGGATGTGGTGGAACGGGAGATTCGCATCATGGATGTGCAGCCGACAAATCTGCGGCAACTGTGTGATGCCATCATGTCAATATGGACCAAAATCTCTGAGGAATGCTTCCRGCACCTTGTTGAATCTATGCCACGAAGAATTGAGGCAGTTCTGAAGGCAAAAGGGGGTCCAACCCGTTACTAGCCTGGTGTACCTAATAAAGTGGCTGGTGAGTGTACTTACCCACGTTTAACTTACACTATACTTGGCTTGTACTAAAAAATATAATAAAAGATTAAAGTGCCTGTGACATGAAATTTGTAAACAAATATAAAGGTATTATTGGAAAGATAACATTATTAGCATATTGCAAAAATAATTTCTTGCTGCTGAGACGAACAGTTGTTGAGATATTTGCCTGTGAAGGAACAGGAAGTGATGTCACAGGGGGATGTCTGAATGTAAACAGTGTTGATATGATAGCTAACTGTAGACTGAAGAGAAGAATCTGATTGTTTTTTTTAGATCATTTTGAGTTTCTATCAGAGAGATGAAGAGTCAGGGTTCAAATAACAGCTAGCTGTAACAAAATATACCTTTGGTCAAAAAAAATTACTTTCTTGCCTCAAAATCTGTTTTTTCTCATTAAATTTGAAAACACCAACTCTCAACCCTGATATCACCATGTGAGGTTGGGCAGTAAATATTGAAATGATCACATGATGTCTATCTGCTGTCTAAAAGGTCAAACTGGTGGCGTTTCAACTCACCCAGTGTTACAATCATCCCCAGTCTCCCTTATACTTAATCTACACTCATGTTTAAACTTTTGGTCAAGATAAACTTTAGTAGTACACTTTTCACAGTTTGTTTTATTTGTAGTATATTTCAAGATTAAATTAAAAGTATACTTAGAAGATTACTTTCAGTATACTTCTGAGTACACTTTCATAAACCCTTTGTGGGCCAATTTAGTCCTGGAAGTATATTTGTTAGTAAACAGATCAGTGTACACAGGGCCGCATTAGTAACCCTAGGGGTCCCTGGGCACTGAAGCTCAAGGCCCCCCCTCCAAACCCAAATACCAAGGGCATAACTTTAGGTGTGGGGGGTTATCCTCTAAAACCCTTGTGCTTAAATGTACATATATGACATCGTAATTTTTCATGTACATTGTACATGATAAATGAAAGTACTCAGGGAAATGCACTTTTATATACTTCAGTATACTTAACGACATGTACCTAAAGTATACTTCTTTTTGGTAAGTTTATAAACTTAAAAATACATTATAACAGTATCTTTAAAGTACACTATAAACTAAAAAAGGTCCAAATTTAGTACAAACAAGTATTAAATCAGTATACTTTCTAGTATACAAGTACATGGAGCCTAGTTAGTACACTTGATATACTTAAATTTATTACTTAGCAAAAAGTGGTATACTTTATTATATTTATTTACCTTCATGTGATGGTTTGAGATATTTTGCTAACAGCATGATCCTCAGATCTGCAGGTTCTTTGATCTTTAGGCTGAAAAACGCAGTTAGTTTCACTCAGTGTGTAAAAGTTGATCAGAGCAGACGACCTTCATGTCTTCTTCTCTGACTCATCAGTTGGAACGAGGCTCGTTAGGCTCCTGATAATTAAAGGCAGGAAGATGAAGTCCAGCAAACATAACGAGGACTCCTCTGGGCTTTAATCATGTCGAACAGAACTCAGAGCACCATCCTTCAAAACACAAGATAAGAATATTTCACTTTAATCACCACAGATCCTTTCAAAATAAAAGCACCTGTGCCCTCAGTTTTGCAGATGGTGGTAGCTGAGAGTAATACTGAGGGCTAATCATAGAGTTAAACAAGACTAGAGTGAGCCCATCGGTTTTAATCTGCAGGAACAAAGATGGCGTCCAAACAGGGCAGTTTACAGCTGATGAGGGAAGCCATTTGTGTCTGGGACCCCCTCAAAAGCCCCAGGCTGTTTTTAAAAGATTATTTATTCTCATTTGAACCCCTAAATGCCACAGGAATATATATTGTATTATATTTGTTTTATTAGTTCATTGTTCTCCATGCGTTTCTGAAAATAAATAAAAAAACAAATTAAAAATTTAGTAAAAATTTTTGAGGAACCCCAAGGTACCTCTTGCGGACCCCAGTTTGAGAACCTCTGTGTTAAATAAGCCAATTTAATTCAGTCATGTGAAAAAAGTTTATTAATTATGACTTTAATTAGTAATAAAGTATATTATTTACCTTATATGTAGTTAACACTTCACAGCATAGTAGTGGTATGAGAAATATTAAAATATTGCAGTTTTTTATTTTCTGATAAAATCTCAAAAGATCTGTTTCAAATTGAGACTTAATGTATAAAATGTGAAATAAACCGTTTAAAAACTGAATTTAATGTTCTTTATACTGATTTTTTTAAATGTGGAGAAAAACATTTACAATATATCCTCTAGATTACAGTATCAATATATTAATACCTGGTGGTAGAGATTGTATCATTTTAAACATATATACTGACTAACAGTTTTTTTTAAAAATTACTGCTAATATTTCTTTTTCCATTTAGTCACCTTTTCATAATTTCAGCAAACGTTCTGCATCTGCTAACTTCAGCTATATTTGTTACACTTTTATTCTTCATTCACTGAATTTCATCTGGTTTCTGTTCCTTTCAGCCGTTTCCAACTTAACTCAAACATTTTCATCGACAGTCCAGCTGTTATAAATCTGAACTGGGTCCAGACGACCCTGCAGGAACCAGTCTGCAGGAACCAGTGAGTTCTCATGACAAAAAACAAAYGACACAAGCAGGTCAAAACACATAATGCCCTGGATTTTTTATTTCATTTTGTGACAATTCAAGAGGATTCTTTGTTTTTTAATATATTTTTTATCTTCTTGTGTGGTGGCAGGGTCTACAAAAACAAAACATGTCATGAATCAAACTGGGCCTTTGGAATGGGCACTGGGTTTGTGGTACAGACAGAAAAACTACAAGTAGCCTTGTTCAGTACCAAACTCTTCACAGAAGAGAGAAAATTATTTTTTTTACGCTTTATTTTTTCCCAAATGAAGGCACCCGATATCATGTGGTTCATGGCCTTTCAGCCTTCAGGAGGTTTTTTTTTTTAATTTTAAGTAGAGAAAAACTTTTTAAATTTCATACACGTTTTATTATATAGAAGCTGGAATGATATATGTCAGTTACTGCATCTTTTCACTCCCTTATAGTTGATTTCTTTTTTTTTTCCAGAGCAACAGGTAACAAAAGAATGAAGTCTTTCATGAGAAGATTAAAAAAAAAAAAAGTGATACAAAAATATTTATTAAAAAAAAGAACGATGGGGAGAAAAATGGAGGAAAACGAAGTCGTCTGGTGTAAAAGCAGAGACCGGATAAAATAAAAAAATATATAAAAAGCAGCATCGATCCATAAAAAAATAAAAATTATAGTGCTTAGATACGTCAGAAGCAGCCGAGTCTTCTGGGAAAGTCTTCATCCCCATTTTTTTTGTTACCTGTCTCAGGAATAAGATGAATGGAAGAGCTCTGTGGAGATCGAACCAACAAACTGAAGCCTGGCTTTACGTCAGAACGGATTCAACGAGAAAAAAAAAAAAAAAAAAAAAAAAAAAAAAAAAAAAAAAAAAAAAGGGATTTGATGTGGAAGGACGTGGAACGTGTCGACTTTTAAAAAGAACGAGCTTACTACAGCGTGGGGATCCTGTTTAAAATGTTAAAAATGGGCGTGAGGAGAGGGGCGGGGGAATAAAGTCGTATTTTTTTGTAAACACGGCACAATAAATAGATCCGACAGCAGGTTCTGCACCATGCACGTGATGAGACGCTCCTCTCCTCGCTCCTGCACCAGCTGCTGGTCGTCGTTTTCTCTTAAAATGTTTTTTTCTTTATGTTTGAGTGCAAAACATCACAAATGAACAATTCTGTATTCAAGTAATGTTATATACAAGAACAGGGTCCGAGGAAGAGGGGATTACAAATATGCAGTACTGTACATATAATTGCCWTATTAAGAATTTACAGACCATCTCTTATTAACAGTAAACGAGGAAATGGAGGGGAGGAAAGAAATATTTTTTTTGTACGAGACGAGCATTGCAATTAAGTCCCAAAACAGTTGCCAAGGAAACCCAACCTTGCCGTGCTCATTCAGCCACCGCTTGCATTCACGACTAACAAATGATGCATAGCACCTAAAAAAATTATATAATTAAAAAAAAGAAAAAGAAAAAAGGAAAAGCAACAAYGTCGAGTCAGGTTGTGTGAGCGGAGCACCGGAGGCTACGTGACCTCCATGGCCACTGTGTTCTCTGATAGACTGTTCAGTGCTGGCTTGTCCTGTTCGTGATTCTCCCTGAGGAAAAACAAACAAAAACATCGTTACAGTCACATTTTCTGAACATCTTTCTAAAGTTTAACTGAAGTTAAAGTGGAAACGTTAGATTTGTTGAACAGGTAAAAGCAAAACTAAAAGTTCAAATCAACCTTGGTAACGATGGATGAAACGAGCTGAAGCTACAGATGATTGATTTAACTAACTTTAAAGGAAACTCCAACTAGCTGCAACTTTAGACATTAGATAAACTTTTACTTCAACTACTATAAAACAGAATGTCAATACTAGAGGTTGTAGTTTTTATCGTTTAAATTTTTTTATGCCACAAAGGATTCTGGGTAAATGACGAGGCTTACTGGGTGCTCTGATATTCCATCAGCTCTTTTAAATAAAGTTGGAGTGTGTTGAAAATAATGGAGGAAAACAGAGCTGCTTTATACCTGAYAAATGTACACAGTGATATAGCATTAGCTCTGAGGCTAATAGAGACCCCATGTCCTTATATGAGGACACCGCATTTTTCTACCCATGATGCATCATTTTTTTCAACATTAACTCATTGGCCTCATTAATAGACCCTACCAGCGCCCTCTAGTGGTCCCATGGCAATATTACCCTCATTTGAGTGAAAACAAGATGGCGGGGATCCCTGTGAAAAGCTTCAAACTCTGGTAAGGTAAATGGCCAAAGTAAAAACCCTAATTACATTTCATGCTTGAAACCAGTGTGTTTATGCACAGTTACATCTTTAACTTTATAAGGCATACAAACACAACATGTCAGTAAAGATCAAGTCCTCATTTGAGGACATTGGGATTATTATTTTGTTATAAATTGTGCCATGAGGCAGGATAAACCTGCAAATATTTAGAAGAGTTTACAAATGTAAATAGTGTAAGTGGTATTTTGGTCAAACATTTGTTAAATCTGTAAATATTTAGAACCGTTCACAAGCACAAATAGTTCTTGCAAGTGGTCCATTTGTTCAACCAATTAATTATACCAAGGATGTTCTGGTCAAACGCTCTGCGATTTCCAGTCATTATGTCACGTTATGTTCTTCCAACTGAAGAGAAATCTTATGATGATGATGAGCTTCACTAATCTCGCTCTGGTCAACAGCTGGCTGCTGTATTTCAAAAATAACTAGGAAAATGGAGGCACCAGAAAGGCTATCATGAAGTTTCTCAAGTTTTGAATTGCTTGGGTATTCCTCAACAAGTGTGACATTTTGAGACCCAGTGTCCTCATATGAGGACATTTTTTTTGTTGCAAAATCCACTTCCTGTACCTAACAGGTTTTAGTTAATATACATATTAGGTCCCACTAATCTCATGTATCTTAGAAAAAAAAAAATGCACATCCAGAAAAGGCTTGGGTCTCAGGAGGACAGATAGCCCCCGAGCTAACGCTATATGTTTTAGCTTGGATGCCAACATGAAAGCTAAAAGGCTAAAGCTGAGGTGAGCCATCCATGAAGCAGCTCAGGTGTCCTCCATGACTTTCAGGCTGAGTTTCTACATCCTGTCTGTCAAAACTGTTTTCATTGAAAAAGAGCAGAACTTTGTCCAAAATGAACCTTTAAGCTGGACAGAGCACAAACTGGAGGAGCTATAAGCATAATTTAGACAGAATACTTTATGGCTTAAATTACATCCGTTTGACTCTGTATATTTATTTTATAAAAACCAAGCAGCCTACAGAGTTTTGTCTGTTTTATAGTTGAAGTAAATCAAATAAAGTCCAATCAGGTTCCCTTTAAGATAAAAAGTTACCGACAGATTCTGTTTAGTTTCTTTGTGAGCTCAGAGTCCACGTGTCTCGTGTGTCCCTCACCTGGGCACCATGTCCAGCGGAGACGCCGAGGCCGTGGCGACCTTGGGTTTCTGACAGTTGGCGGTGGCGGCGTGGGCGAGCTTTAAGGCGGATGTCGGCATGCTGGAGCTCAGCGTGCGKGGAGCGTGGATGCGCTTTCCGGGGGGGATTCCCAGACGGAGGCTGTTGTTTCCCAACAGGACCTGAGTGGCGACGGCGTTGTTGTTGTTGGCGGCGGCGTTGCCGTGGTGGGCGGTGCCGTTGTTGGTGGCGGCAGAGCAGGGGTGGAGTAAGGCGGACGTCGGGGTTGTGGTTTGAGGAGCCGGGGCGGCGAGGGACGGGGACGCTGTGCTCGAGAGCGGCAAGCCCTTGTAGACACCTGAGGGGGGTGAAGGGGGCGGGGCAAGGCGGAACAGTAGGTGCAAAAAGGGGAGGGGTTTGAGATGCAGAGTTTAATTTAAAAGCAGAACTCACAGCTGCTCGTGATTAGGTTAAGGTTTGAAGCAATTTTTTATAAGTTCAAAAGAATAAATATTTATTTATCTTCAGGTTGAAGCTCGTTCATGATGAATTATTTCATAATTTATCTTTTTAATCCTTTTAGTCTTATTTATTTATTCCCTTTTAATTAATGCGTTTTGCTTTTATCTTTAATATGAAATGTGTAAATGTGTTATTTCACTTCTTTTTTGCTATTGTATTTAATTGTAGCAGTTTGAGATTTTTTTTAAATGTAAAGTGCATTATAAATAAAATTAATTATTATTATTATTATTATTATTATTATTAAATCAAAAAATTTTTTTTAAACAATCCAACTAAAACCGTCCAGCTCTGGTACTCATGATTTTATAATTCAAGGACCGACCTGTGTTGATTTTATGTTTTTTTAAAGCATTTAAACTGATTCTACCTGTAATCAACTTTAAACTTTTATTTCTAAGTTTTAAAAGTCATGCCTCGTAGACGTAGATAAAAACAACGTGGGGTTGTTGTGTTTGGCGGCGCTCCCAGGGCTGACTCGTATTTATGTGGGCGTGGTCGTACCTGAGGAGAGGACGCCATTGACTCCGCCTCCCAGGCCCAGCTCGTCCTTGTTTTTCAGAGCCAGCAGTTGTTCGGCGGTGATGAGGGCCGAGGCGGCGAACTGAGCGCTGGCCTGGTCCAACGTGTTCGCCATGCTCTGTGGGCGGAGGAGGAGCGTTTTACAGAAACAGCTTTAACCCCAGCAGCCAATCAGAGAGCAGCGTGACTCACCTGCGTGCTGTTGGCAGTGCTGCTGGCTCGCTGCTGGTTCTGCTCCACCTGCTGTTTGTGCATCAAGGCCAGCTGTTCCTGATGCTGCTGGTACTGATCTGCTGTGAAAGCTGTCAAACAAAGTCTCGTCACAAACCTGAAGAACAGATTTCCACTGAAGGTCTCGTCTCTAAAATCAGCTTGTTTGGGAAACAGTTTGGGCTCCACGCCTCTGTGTGCAACAACAACAAATCAAAACACTCAGCTTCTCTTTTCCTCTTCAAACAACAAGACGGTTGAATCTCACTGAGCTCGACTGCTAGTTGTGTTGAAGTGTAAATTTTCAGCTGTGGTCTGAATGTTTAGTTTTAAAAAACTGGAGCCATTTGTGTGTTYTGTTGCTCACTTCAACGTGTCGTAAAATGATTTAACCTGCTGGAGTTCACTTTTCAAATGAAGAGGACGTACTCGAGCAATAAATATATCAATTTACATAAAATATCTTTACTTTGTTCTCATAATTTTAAATTAAAAAGGCTTCAGTCATCGCTATCTAAAGTACCATTTCTATTCTTTGAGCTAAAGATATTTAACCTCTTATAATTTTAAACATTTGATACAAAGCTTTTCCTGAAACACATTAGAAAATAAACTTTACTTTTCACGTAGTTTTCCTGAACTTTATCACTTCAAAAACCATCACACATCTAAGCTATCATTTAAATAACTCACTTAAAAACTTGAGAAAAATTGAATTAGTGGCAAGTTTTTGCTTAAAATGCTCGTCCAAACCATGAATCACATCAAGTTAAACTGATGGAAAACACTGACTAATATTTTAAATTATTTGTAATAAAAGAGTTTTAATTAGATGTAGTTAAACCTCTTGAGCCCCATACAAAACTGTTTTTTCCGTTTTCTATTTCCTTTAACTTCAGATGTGTCAGTTGAACCTGGACATGTTTGGGATCAAAATAAACCAAAGAATCTTGGCTAAAAACTCAGTTCAGAATAACAAAACACTAAATTATTTCTTTACTAAAACCTCTGTAACTTTGCTCCAGTTAAGTTTAGCAGCATGAATCTTTGCACAGGTGATGTCCACAAGTGGATTTATGGTTTACAAGAGATTTATCTGAATCATTATGGTTTTAAACTGTCTAATGAAACAATTATTTAGGTGAGAGTGAAAAAAAATTATTTTTAAATTATGTTCCATCCTTAATATCTCTAAAACCACAGCAGCTGTTTTAATATTTAAACTTCTGATGAAATCACCCAAATGTTAGCTTTGATACCAAGATTTAAGTAGAGTTTGTAAATGCTGAGATACACTCCGTTACATTTCAACAAGGCATTTTGAACAAAAACTTTAAGAAAACCCCTCGGGGCTTAAGAGATTAATACAAGAAAAATCCTTTTGTCCGTTTCACTTCGAGCCTTTTTACTGAGTTTATTCTCGTTTCATGATATTAAGGCTTTTTGCTTCACTGCAGTAACAATTTCTTGTTCTTTTCATGTTTTTCTTTTACAGACGTGATTATTTTTAACCCTTGTTTACTCAAAGTTAACATTTCTGAAAGCAGCAGTAATTCATCTTTAATTTTTCTCTCAGCAGATTAAAATAAATTAAAATTTTACTTTCTAAAAACATCTTTACGTTTCATTTGTGCAGCTTCACAAACAGGATTAATCTTTTCAGAGGAAATCAATAAGACATTTTTCTCCCATGCATTAAAAAAAGGGGCTTGTGACGATGTGGAGGACGGTTTAAATAAATAAATAAATAAATAAATAAAACCACGGGGAGCGGTGACATTTAGTCGGTATGCAGCACGGCGAGCCTCCGTGTCAACACAGCGACAGATCGGCTCATCCCATGAATTTATTTATCAAATCCAGTTTTAATTGACACCTCGGGGAGCTGAAACTTTGCAACAGAAACACGTTCAGAGCGTGGAGGAGGACTGAAGAGACCAATAACTCACCAGCAGCAGGTGCAGGGACGACCCTCGCCGGGCGCTGCGGTCCCATCGGTTGTCCTCCGGCTGAGAGCGGTCGCTTCACACCTCGACTGATCCTCCTGAACAGAGGGTGGGCGTCGTCCAGCTCGTGTAGTGGGAGTGTCCGTGGTCTAAAGTGCCTCCATCGGCACGACTTTATGTTCAACAGTATCTGACTGAGGTCCGTGGAGGAGGGCGAGGACGGGTCGGCGGAGGGGGAACTTCTGTCCGAGGTATTTGTTTCTGAGGTGCTGGCGGACCGGTCGGGGTCCGGTGAGCGCGACGTAGCTGAGGGGGGAGGAGGGGAAGCAGACAGCGGCAGGTCCGCCATCTCCGGGTCCGGTCCGTCGAGCGTGTCGTGGTCCGTGTACGCCCGGTCCAGCAGCACCCTGCGARGCCAGGAGAGGCGGACTCAGCGACACGTTCACAGGAAGTGAAGCAAGTCAGAAAAACAAGGCCAGGACCCACCTGCCGCCCCGGCCCACGCGTCGCCTGGCCACGCCCAGGCACCGGCGTGGCACAGTGAGCGTGGTGAGACTGTAGCGAAAACGATCCTGCGTCAAGCCGCCCTCCCAGGGACCGCACCACGGCCAGCTGCCCAGCAGGTCCTGACGAGCCTGAAAACAGAGCGCTTTAATCTGAAGGCCTGAAACAAAGAGTTAAACTAACTGTGGCCTCTACGGTCTTATTTTATTACAACGTTAACGTTTAACAGGTGAGTAACAAGCCAGTGCTTACAGCGTAGTACTGGCAACCCGCCTTCCTGCGAAAGGCGTAGGCACCATCTGGGTCGTTCTCCTCCTCTGCTTCTGAAGAGCCCGAGTGCAGCTGCAGGAAGAGGTCAAAGGTCAAAGGTGAGTTCAGTCAGAGGGTAAAACTTATAAACAGGGTTCATGCAGGTTTCACTACGTTAAACATAAGACCTTTTAAAGTACCTGTGACATCAAATTTTTCTAACATGAATGYATTAATGGAAAGATAACATGTTGCAAAACAAATTTAACGTCGCTCAGATGAACAGTTGAGATATTTACATGTGAAGAAACAGGAAGTGATGTCAAAGGGGAATGTCTGCATGTAAACAGAGCGTTGTTATAAAAGCTAACAGACTGTAGAGAAGAATCTGATGTTTCTTTAGATTATTTTTAGTCGTTATCAAAGAGAGACGAAGAAAAGTTAAAGTTGAAATTAGTTTGTTTTGATAAACAGGCCAGCAAGTTTATTTTATTAAAGAGTTCCCCTTTGATGTCACTTCCTGTTTCACTTTGGCTGAGCTAAAAAAAAAGGGCCAGTTTTGTGATAACATGGTTAAAATCATGTGTATGGCAATTTTCTTAAGTATAAAGATGTTTTCTTTGACTTTTTGTATTAGGATAGGCACTTTAAGACCATTAGGAATGAAATTTAAAGACCAAACAGACACATTAACAGAAACATTCAAATGGTCCCAGAAATTTCAACATAGAAACATTTTACTGTTATTAATTTAATTATTAAAGAATCCGTCTGTTTTCTTCTGCTTAACCAGGGTTGGGTCGCCTAAGCAGAGACCCAGACTTCCCTCTCCCCAGCCACTTCAATTAAACAATCATATCTATGAGACCTTCATAACGACTGCTGGGGATCACTTCCAACCAAGTGCAAAAATCACTGATATAAAGCCAAGTGTCATTGAAAACACATTTTCTCATGTTTAAACCACAAGCAGTGGACATGACTGAACTTGAGTTTGAAAACATGTATTTTTTGCCTGCAGTTATCAGGGGATTTGTAGTTTTTTGTGCACAAAGAGCTGTAGTAAACTTAGCACTTCATGAAGACAGATTTCATCAACCTCTGATTAAGAGCTTTATTCTGTTTATGTAGCCAATGCTTGTTCGGAATGATCGAAAGTAAAAAAATTAAGACTTGATTAGATTAAATTGAAGACCTTGGATGCAAATCTGGGCATTTTTAAGACTTTCTTAGGCCTAAATTTTAGATTTTCCAATTTAAGACCCTGCATGAACCCTGTATAAACATCTGGTTGTGTAATCCTAAGACAACAAACTCTTAATTTGAAATCTAAACTCTGGAAGAAGTTTGAAGAAAAGGAAAGTTTAGAGACTGCAGTGCAGCAAGTCTGAGTAAATTCGAGCTGACGGGACAATAAATCCTCGTCTATAGGCGTTCTGAGGAGCGTCAGGCAACAAGCATCCTGGGAAATAATCAGTGCAACACCTCACTGCCTCTGTTCTGTCAATCATAGTATAATTATACACACAGTGATGCTGATACTTACACGTTTACAACTAAATATCATAAAAGCCTGGGGGATCGTAGAAGAGTTTTGTGTTTAGCTGCTCAAACCGGGGGGGTTCTTGTACCTGAGAGAAGGGCTCGTCGTCCGAGCTGGGGAAGTCGTACTGGTTCAGGTCCTTGGCGTTGAACACAACGGGGCCCGAATGGTGGGGGACGCCCGACGACAACGGTAAGACCTTCTTCTTCTCGTACTTCCTCTTCTGCCGCGGGACTTCCATCTTCTCAGGCTAGGAGGAAGAGAGGAGACGATGACGCTAAAAATAAAAGCTGCTTTAAAAGCTGTCGCCACTTTGGGACAGGAAGTCACCTTGGACTTGTAGTCTTTGGAGTCCATGTGGTCCTGGTGCCGGTACTGATTGGTGAGGGGGACCAGGGGAATGATCTGCGGCCTTACCAGTGCCCGTTCCGCCAGAACCTCTGCGATAACTTCTCCTCCGAAGTCTGACATGACGTTCCTGAGGAGGAGAACAAAAACGTTTAGCAGGTGCTCCTTTCGGCTCCGGGTCCGACAGAACGGCTGCGCAGCCGGACCTCTTCTCGAAGATCTCCAGTGTGAGGTGCAGCAGCTCTCTCTTGCTCTTCTCCCTCCTCTTGATCATCTCCAGGATGGTGACGGCTCGGCTCAGATCCCTGCGGAGCTTCAGCATCTTCTCGAAGGACGCCTCGTCGTTCTTACGGTTCTGAACAAACACAAACAGAAGATTTTAAGGTTTGACACGTTTTAAAAACTAAAGTCTGGTTTTTGTTGACTGAATGGACTCAACTGGTAGTTTTTCKAAACATTTATGTATTTTTAAACTTTACTCTGTGAGTTTAACAAAATATTTTCTATTATTTGTATGAATAAAAGAGAAATGCTCAGGATATAACAATAAATTTAGTTCACTTTGACCACATTCATTTCCATCAACATCTCTTTGTTCCTTCAGTGTTTCTGTTAATAATAATATTAAAACCATAAACCTGTCATTACTCTAAGAGAAAAACACTTTGAAATAAATCAGCTAATCAGAGACACGTTTGCTCATTTTTTAGCTTTTTAAATAAGTGTTAAAAATACTTGAGTCAGGTGTAAAACACTATGTGGGCTTTAAAGGCTTGATTGCTTCATTTTAAAAACATGTTTGTTGTTTTAGGAGTAAAAACGACCAAATATTTGATTTTGATTTATCACTAAAATTAGAAACATTTTGTCCAAAAATGATTCAGAAAAACTGATTCATGCATTTATCACATCTAGACTGGATTACTGTAATTTTTTATTATCTGAACATCCAAAAAACTCTTTAAGAAGTCTTCAGTTAATCCAAAATGCTGCTGCTAGAGTTTTAATGAGAGTTGGAAGGAGAGATCATATTCCTCCAGTTTTATCTTCTCTCCACTGGCTCCCTGTCAAATTCAGAATAGAATTTAAAATATTACTCCTAACATACAAAGCTCTTAACAACCAGGCTCCATCATATATTAAACATCTTATTGTTCCATACTTTCCTAACAGAGCACTTCACTCTCAGACTGCAGGTTTACTTGTGGTTCCTGGAGTTTCTAACAGTAGAATGGGAGGCAGAGCTTTCAGTTATCAAGCTCCTCTCTTGTGGAACCAACTTCCAGTTTCTGTCCGTGAGGCTGACACTCTGTCTACTTTTAAGATTAGACTGAAGACTTTCCTTTTTGATAAATCCTATAGTTAGACTTAGGTTTCCTGAATTATTCTTCATTTCTGCTGCTATAGACTTAGACTGCTGGAGCACAAACTGAGCACATTTCCTCACTCTGCTGTTGTCTTTAGTCTCTTTTCTCTACATGTTTGTTTTCTTTGTCTCTTCCAGAGGAAAATACACCTGGACCGGTCCTTCTGCATTTGTCTGTGTCTGTTTCCTGAGCCTGGTTCTGGTTCTACTGGAGGTTTCTTCCTGTTAAAGGGAGTTTTTCCTCTCCACCGTCACCAATGTGCTGCTCGGGATGAGAAACTGACGAAGTGAAGATTAAAAAATAAACTGCTGCTTCTTTAGATTTATTGTTTTTGTGTACAGCGTCTGAGGCGACGTTTGTTGTAACTTATATAAATAAACTGAACTGATTTGACTAAATGAGGGCGGTTGAAAGTTAAAATATGCAACAAGTTCTTCAGATGACCACTTGGTGGCACATGGGTTCCTCTTCTGAGAACATACGAGCACGATGTTCAGCAGTTTGTGACGAACATTAGGAACATAAATATAATTCTTTTCATGTTTAGTTTGTGACGGAACATTTCTGATGCACCTCATGCCCTGACCAGAATGTGGATGTGACTAAAAATAGTCTAAACAAAAGAAACAAGTGTATACAGTACAGGTGTGACAGCATGTTTTTAAAGTCGTGTCTTATTGTTCGTCACGTTCAGGTGGCGCTCACTGCTCAACAACCTGGATCCGGCCTCACAGAAGGCCGACAGACTTAAATCACAGCGTGTGAACTCAAAGGAAGAACCTTTGAGGTTTTTTTTGTACTCTCAGTTTGGGCTAAAAAATAAAATTCAAGCTGCCCGCAGATGAGCAGGAAGAGAAGACAGACCTTCCTCGTCTGCATCTTCTCGGTGCGCCGCCGAAAGGCCACGTAGGGGTCACCGGTGCTGGAGCCGTCCCGTTTTTCCTGCTTCACAGTGGGGATGAGGGAGTTGGCCTTGCTGTTTTTCCTCTTGCGGCTCCAGTAGTCGTAGACCTCCTTGATGAGCTCGTCGTCCTCTTTCAGCAGCAGTTTAGCTTCAGGAAGACTCACGAGCTGAAATGGTTACATAGCGGTGAGGACGACAAAATAACCCGCTGCATTAAACTCAAACTGTTGGTGAGCAGGTACCTGCTGTCCGCTGCCTTTCTCTAGCCGGTCGATCATTTCCTCAAACTGAAGGTAGCTGATGTCCATCTTCTTTTTCAGCTTGTTGACAAAAGCCTCATCGTCTGAGTCCAGGTCGTAGTCTGGCTGCTCTGTGTCCAAGCTGAAAGCTGCAGGACCGTAAAAGTTCAGTTACTCATAAATCACTCTTTACATTAAACCAGAATGTAGCTTCAAACATTCATTCAAACAAAAAGCAGGGRAAAAAAAACTGATTTGACCAATAAAAGCAGCAAAAAGCTAAACAAGCATTTGGTCAATTTTTTACGCCTGAACTCACAACTAGATCTGGGTATCAATTCAGATTTCTCAAATCGATTCGATTCATAATTCAGTTTGATTTTTAAATTAGTTAAGGATATCAAGCAGTAAACATTTACTTTGATACAGAAGACATTCTCAAAGGAACCAATTCTGCAAATAGTAGAAACTAATTCTAACTTGGTGCATTGGTAAAATTATATAAATTAAGGGCAAACTTGTAAATTGGAGTTTAATCTTGAAACAAAACTGTCTCAAGTTTCAAAGGGTTTAAACTAAAAAAAGAATTGCAAGAGAAAGTGTTGTTGGATACATTCATTTTTTAAAGAAACTAAGAATAATTTTCTTGATCATTAAAWAGTGATGRAATGAGCTTACAGGAGAAGAGGTGGGATAATATAAGTGTACTTCTGCCCACTCTTTTGAGCGTATGATAATTGTATATTTGTAATGTTTCTGTGACATTCTGTTCAATAAAACTTAGAAAAAGAACAACATTCCATCACTGTGAATTACATTAAGATGTTTCTTGAATTTAAACATGATATTGGTAACAAAACTAAACAATTTCATTAGACTGTCATCTTTCACACATTTATACAGGAGAACAGTTTCAGTCAGATGTTTACACACAGTAGTTTTGGTTCGAGCCGCTCGAAGCTTCATTTCCCACCACCTCATCAGAGCACAAATCTTTGCAAACAAAAGTTGTCCTGACCTCTGTTATCTGAGTTCAGCTGAGAATCAGCTGTAATGTTGGTGATTTTGTTTTGCACCAGGCAACTTGTTGTCAGGAGCTAACGTTAGCACTGAACGTCAACCGAATGTAAACCTACCAGGAGTGACACACAACACGGAAATGCGCAGCTTCATTGCACCCAACACCCATGGGTAAAAATCCATCTTGTGACTTATAAATCGATTTTCATAAATTTGAACGAGAATCGATCCAGATCAATTAAATCGATTGTTTTTTAACTCGGCCCTACTCACACCAGAAGCCAAGTTAGCAGCTGAGTATAATAACTGTTTACAAGCAAAGTTTTGTTTTCTTTTTGCAGACATTTCACTCTGACATCACAGGACAGGTTAAAAAAATTAACCTTCCTGACAGCTGAGGGGCAAGGAGGAAGAAAACTGCTCACTTTAAACAGCAGAAACTTTATGATAGAGGTCGACCGATACGTCAGAGAGCGGATATTTTTTGGCCGGTTTGTGTTTTTTTTCCTGTGTATCGGCTGATCCATTCCTTTGATCACACGAGCGCATGCACTGCCGCCCCCTCCCTGGGAGAGAGCGGCAGATGATGTAAGACTGAGTGCCAACAACAACAAGGGTGAGTTTTTAACGCGTCCACGTTTTTTTTCTTTATAAATGGTGGTGGAACCACTTACAGGGAACATACAACACTTTCTCCCCACTGACATAAAATTAAAAAGCTCTCGGTCTTCTCTCAGTTAGGTTCATTAAGAGCGAGTAATGTGCCGCCGTCCATCATTAACATATGTAAACCAGACCCCGGTGAAGCTCATTACAACAGCAGGTTTTCTTTGGTGTACGTTTCAAACTGATCTAAAGCTTGTTGTTAAAGTCAGCTGGTTTAAACGTAAATTTGGTCCAATGAGAAAGACGGGCGCAGATCGAGGCAGAGCTGCTGTAAGCACTGTGTGTGTGTGAGTCCTCACAAAGATAGCAAGTTGTATGTGTGTCCCTCTGACAGTTTAGGCATGTGCTGGGATATTAAAACTTGGTCATTTTATTTTATGTAGAAAATATATTAATCTGATTAAAATACAAATAAAACAATATGTAGCACTAGATAAAAAAAAAGTTGAAAAAAAATTGTTTTTTTAAAGAAATGGCTGAAAAATTAAATGCTGTGCAGCAGCGACACCAGACAAGGCTCAGTTAATTTTTTTTTGTTGTTTAAATTGAGAAATGTGTAACATCATTATTTTTATGTTAATGGGAGAAAAAAAAAGTATCAGCTTCAAGAATGAGGCAAAATAAATTGTCTGCTGTATCAGAATGATGTTAAAATAATCGGTATCGGCCTTTAAAATCCTGTATCGGTCGATCTCTACTTTATGACCTAAAGAACTTGAGGCGACTCCCTTTGGAGCGGCGCTGAGTTAAAACATAAAACTCCATGAATCACCACTGCTTGAACTTCAGACTTGGACTCAATCCCAGGTGCTTCTGTCTGAATCCTGCAGTAAATCATTAGCATTAAAAACATCGTCTTCTCTTAGAGTTGAAACATTTAAACATCTTCTTTAAACAGGAAGAGCTGAATACAAACCAACAAACAGCTGAGATTCAGACGTGAACGTCTGGATAATCATCAGAACTAATTAAGATTCTCTTTCAGAACTGGAGCTGATGAAGACTAACTCTGCTGGCAGCGTTTTCCTTACGTTATCAAGGACAGACCCCC